TTCGTCTCCCTGAATACCAGGGGGGAGAAGTGGGGCGCGCACTGAGACCCCACCTGCGAGAATGGAGTCAACAGAAGGTAGGATTATCATACAACTGTTCCCAGTTGCTCTCAGGACACGGCTGTTTTGGACAATTCCTAAACAGGATGAAACAACCTAATTTCCGCGCGGAGCAGCTCGACGTAATTTTCGCTAGTCGCGAAAAAGGTTTGCACGGGAAGAGAGAATGCAGAATCAAATTTAGACTAGACACAGTATTTTACAAAAGACAGAAATGTTTATTGTGTGTAGTGTGTGTATTTACAAATGAGTGTGTGTACGTGTTCGTAAGTGACAAGCAGGTGTGTATTCGTGTGCCGGTGTAGATGTGTATGTTGTATATATTGTCGAGACGGCAAGCAGACGAGACGGATACAAGACGTGTATAGAAAAACTACGAGGCGCGGACAAAGAAACTAAGATATTACGGACGGCACGAACAGAAAAACTATACGTGTGAATTACGGCGCGAGTACGGCGAAAAACGCGGGGGAATGTCCGAATCCCAAGACGGACGCGAGGCGCGGTCGGCGGTATAACAATACGAATACGCGTACGCGAAGTATACTCCAGCGGCGGATGACGCTCGCGGCGCGGATAACGCGGTGGGCGTTCCCTCTATGCAATGAGGGACGCTTCGCAAAAATGTAGAATGCACAGGAACCTTACGACCGACTGCCAAGAACGCTTGGCGGAGGCGAAGAACACTTCACCCCCTTTTCGCGCCGGTGCGCAAAGTTTAGGATACTGGCGTACGGCTGTCAAGAACGCTTGACGGAGGCAAAGAACGCTTTACCCCCTTTTCGCGTCGTACGGCCAGCGGATCAGGAGTTTTGGTGATCGACTGTCAAGAACGCTTGACGGAGACCAAGAACACTTGACCCCCTTTTCGCGTCGGATCACCGGAGCTAGGATCGGAGCAGGATTCGTACTGGAGCGGCGGTTCGGATAGAAGAGAGCTCCTGGAGCAATAATTACGCGTTATATACTAATTATTGCTCCCGCTCGTCTGATTACGGTCTTTTCCATTATCGCCTGGCGGTTGGCAATTCCTGCGGAGGGAATTGTCGATCGGCGATGTTCGGTCGCGTTCGGTCGGAGCGGCGGATAGCGCGAAGCGCAGATCGTTCGGCGATCTTCGGACGCGTTCGGTCGGAGCGGCGATAGCTACTGTCGACGGCGGTAATTCTAATATCGCGAAATGTGAAATGTTTCTGGCGGCTGGTATCGTCGCATTGCGGAGTGCATCGTTACATCGATAGGGAAGAGGCCTACACCCGGATGCGATCACTGCTCCGAGTCGTTGGACAGTGCGAGTCATACTCTGAACGATTGCCCGGCTTGGATCACGGAACGGATGGAACTGAGATCGAAGATTGGCAAGGCAGACTTAACAATGGACGTTTTGGTCCAAGCTCTGCTGCAATTGAGAGAGGAGAGAGAGCGGTTCTGCAGTTTTGAGACAAAGTAATGTCAGCTAAAGCAGCTGCTGAGAGAGAGAGAGAGAGAGAGAGAGAGAGAGAGAGGAGGGTCTATGGTTAGACCCGGAGGAGTAGCGGCGACTGACGGGGGCGGTGGAGAGGATGAGGATTCCCACTCTGGACGTCGCCGACGTGGACGGAGAAGACGCGACCTTGGACGTTTCCATCCCTATCGACGGGACTAACACTGACTGGTGGCGCCTATAGGATGGATTGACTTTCAACGTACTTGTTGGGTAGAAAACGGACGACGACGACGATTACGATCGACGGATGCTGGTGTCCCCGGGGGGGGGGCGGGGGCGCGGTCGGTGGCGGGGGTGCCCGGGCTTTAGGTCCGGTCTTTCTCTCGCCTGGTCCGCGTCCCCGTCTTCCTTCCCCCCCCCCCGGGGTACACTGGTCGGACGGAGCGCGGGGAGTGCGGGGTCGCCATGGGTGGCCGGTTATGTCCGGTCCCCCTGGCGATCCCGTACCCCTCTGCCTGGAACTCTGCGGAGCGGTTGGGCGGGCGAACCACCGCTCCTGGCACAGGGTGATGGGCGGGCGGCGGGGGAAGGCGGTGTCCTCCCCCGTTGTAAAGGTTAGATATTTGGTAGCGCGTAAGTGCTTCAGGGCTGGGGGGCGGCAGGCGGGTACTGTCGTCTGGATCCCTCCCGTCCTCTCCCTCGCGCCCCAGGTAGGACACCCGTCAGGTTTTAGTGGGTAGGCCCCGATCGGTTAGGTCGGGGAGAGTCCCACATAACCCCTCTCCCCTCCCCGCGGGAGGGGGGTATGCGTAACGCATTTCCTGACGTAAAAAAAAAAGGTTAGGTTCTTTCTCGGTCTGGGCGACCTTGTCGCGGTGAGAAACCTCACCTGGGGTCCCGTGGAGGGCCCTCAGGTGCCAACAGCCCAGAGTACGGAGTTTTCCGTTAAATAGGAAGACTCTGTACGCGGGGTCCGGTACCCCAAGGTGATGGGAGAACGCGCTCGCGCGGTCCCATCACTGGGGAACTTGTCCGCTGGTAGGACTTGTGCCCAATGTGCCGGTAGGAGAAGGCGACTCCGACTTCAAACGCCCGCTGATCAGGCGCCGATAGGGGGATACAGGTTCCCTGCCCTGGAGGGGTTTAGGTCATTCGCTGACCTCCGTCCGCCATTCCGTGGAGCCCTCGCCCGTCCCGTTGGGGGTGGGGAGGGTCTCTGTGGCATGGGGGACGGCAATAAGCGACGAGGGTGTTCCCTCAGACGGGGACTTCCGCGGCTAGGTGCTCCTGGCCGCGGACAGTCCCCACGTCATGGGATGGGGAGAGGGGGTCGTGGTTGGCCCCTCCTCATTGCACGATGGCTGGGGAATGGCTCAGGTCATTCCACCGGCGCCTGGGGCGCGGGGAGTCGTCAGCTGCGGCTGTCGGCGAACCCGTGCCTTAGGCCAGACGGGCTTCATGCCTGGGCCTCGCGTGCGTCGGCTGCCGGCTTGGCCGGAGCTGGGATTGCGAGGCGGTGGACATGACAGACTGACGGGACAATACTACGGACTTTAGACAGGACAGTACGATTTACGTACGGACGGACTTACTGACCGGAAGATGAAGGGGAAGGACGCCAAAGTCCCCCGTGTTTCCGGGTCCACTTTGGAATCCCTCCAGGAAGGATAGAAATGCCATGAGAAAAGGGAAAGACCCTGAAGTCCCCCGCACCGCGGGTCCACTTCGGAGTCCCTCCATATTAAGGAAGATCGCTGACAACTGGATCAAAGGAAAAGAAGAGAGTTGCGGGGATTTTCTCCATTACCTCGCCACAATGCCTGAGTGCAGGCCAAATTCAGACGAACATCGGTCTAGGATGGACTAACGAAGGAAAACGTAACCCGGCGCTGGTGGACCGCTTGTAAAATAGTCCACCTTCTCTTTTTTATGTATGAAGATGTCGAAGAAAATGATAAAAAGCGTCCCTTCTCGGATGGGGGACAGCGTCGATGCGGGGGGTATAGTCCCAGCCCCCCCTTTGTCGACAGATTCTCTGGAATCATGCGATGGGCGAACCGACACCTGCACCGCAGGGGTGTCGGGGAAAGTACTAATTGTACAAAATGCGCCTGCGAAGCCCCAGAACCCGGGGAACGGGTTCGAGAAGAACTTCGAGCCGGTACTCCGTCTGAGAGGCGGAGGGAATGGCGATGGTAAGAAGGAGTCAGAAGGAGGTTCATCGCTCTCACAACCTCCCATTGAAAAGTTCTCTGAAGATACTCGATCTCTGGCTGATACTCGATTCTTGGTCGATGAGGACATTGAGTGTCTGTCACCGTATAGTGATGAAGAGGAAGATGATGGTAGTTTCTTCAGGAAACCAGGACCCTGAGGAAACGTAAGAGTGCAGGCTCTAAGGGATCAAGGAGCTCACGGAAGTCTATGATAATCCCCTCGGAGGAGGATCAACCTCCCGAGAAGGTTGAAAAGAAATCCCAATCAAAGTTGAGCTCGATTGGGAAAAGAAGTCGTTCTCTCTCCACTGAGAGCAGGAAAAAAGGTCCCTCTCAATCTTGTGAAAAAGACAGAGAGGACTCGACTCCGGTCAATGAACTTATGACCAAGAGAGAGGCGTTAAAGCGCGTTAATGAGGAAGAAGACAAGCGTCTAGAATTACAGAGGCCACTATCAGGGAGCTGTCTCAAAAGGTGCTCTTTAAAAGAGCAAAGATAAATGTTGACAAATTTATGGAGGAGCTAGAAGGTCTTCGCTCGGAATCCATAATTGAAAAGGCAGAAAAATACATCTCTGAGATCGTTAGAGTGGCCATTACTTCAAAAAACTTATATGGCCCCTTTGTAGGATTGCTAAAATACTCCGCCGGAGGATCACTGGGATGTATCAAAGAACTCTTCAGGAGATCGGCAGCTGCGGCTGGAGAGGCGGCACAGGAAGAAATCTCTCTACTAAAACAGGAGATTAGAACAGTTAAAGAAAAACTACAGGCAGAACTAGAATTGGAAAAAGTCAAAGTCAAGGCGGCTACGGACAGCATCAAGAGAATGGAAAAAGAACTCTGTCTGCTTAAAAGGGACATCCCCCGAGCTGTTCCACAGAAGGCAACAGAGGTCTTGGCGAAAACCTCTAAAGTTGAAACTAAGAAAGAACAACCTCCAAACTTAGGAAAAGCTGGTCCTTCGAAACAAGCGGAGGCCAGAGAATTTCTTGATAGAAGAAAGACGCTCCGGAGCAGTCAGCAGACGAAACCTGGAAAGAAATACGTCTTACCAACTTCAGGTTCTGATCTGATGGACGTTAGTGAAACGGAAGATAAATCCATCGGTGAAACTACCAAGGGCGTTTTTCTACCTCCCAGGAATGAATGGCCGGACTTAAACTGGCCAGCTGGTAAACCATCGAGCAGACCGACTATAAAACATATCGTGGACTTGTCAAACTCGCAGAAATATACCACGGAAGTGGTAGATGGAAAAGTAGTTCTGAAGATGAATCAACAACTAGAACAGGGGAGATGAAGAAGGCAGAGCTGGATGAAATACTCCCGAGGAAAGGACAACCTAGAGAGGACTTGCAGGATCGTCAAAGCCTCCAAGAGATGATAAGAAATATCATCAAAGAAGAAATGGGTATTAGCCCAGTATTACCTGGAAGACAGACTGACCGAGTCTTACCGGAGCATGCCGCAAAGAAGAAACCTTCGCTCAGGAAGAGTGAGAATGATCATGGTAGAGCTAGATCTAAATCTAGAGTAAGATCTGTACAGCGGACAGTGCGAGAACAGGAGGAGCAATGGACCAAAGTTGTTGGCCGAAGAGCTAAATCCCAGCTCAAGAAGAGGGCTCCCGCTGGTAAGGAACCTCCTACTCCCAACTCCGGTAGGGAGATAAGAAAAAGGAAACCACCCAAGACAGCGGCGGTACAGATTTCGGTCGCGGAAGATGGCAGCTACGCTGAAACTATGAAACTGGCGAAGCAGAAAGTAAAAATAGATGACATTGGTATCGCTGAAATGAAACCGCGTAGAACCAAGACAGGGGCCTTTCTCATCGAGATATCTGGCGAAGATAACAGTCAGAAAGCCGATAAACTGGCCTTGAGACTGCAAGAACTCTTTCAGGATGATGGAAAAGTGATAGTTTCTCGTCCGAATAAAACCTCGGAGTTGCGCATCACAAACTTAGATGACTCTACGACACCTGAAGAGGTAGTAGCAGCTCTCTCACAGGCATCAGACTGTAGTCCTTCAGAAGTGACGACAGGGGATATCAAGAGGGCTAGAAATGGCCTTGGTGCCATTTGGATAAAGTGTCCGGTCGTTAGTGCTAATCGATTGGCTGATTTAAAAAAGGTACGGATTGGCTGGACATCCGCGAGAGTGGAATTGCTCCCAGATCGCGGACTTCAATGTTATAGATGTCTCCAATTCGGACATGCACGTAGGGAATGTAAGAACTCGACCGATCGGAGCGGTCTTTGTTATCGCTGCGGAGGAATGGGACACAAGGCGAAAGTGTTAATCATCAGTCAAATGCGCTGCGTGTGACTTAGCCGGTCTTCCAGCTACCCACCGTATGGGTGGTGCAGCTTGTAAAAAAGGTAAGACTTCAAAAGATAGGAGAGGTCGGCAGCCTCCTACTAATAAACAGGATCGGAAGCGTAGTAACTCCCGTGTACGTGGGAGAGATGATAATAAAGACAGAGACAACAGTCGAACAGCGAATGCATTGCCAAAGAGGAACTCCTCTGTACCCTCACAGGAGGTTGTTACTTCCAATAGATTCGACTGTCTAGACGTGGAGATGGAAGCGGCACCAGTGCCAGTATCAGAGGCTACTGGAGGCTTGAATGATGAATCGGAGAAGGGTCATAGTCAAGTCTCAGCTGCGATGGCTCTTTCTTTGGAATGGCCTATAGAAAAATCCATAGATACGTTGGATTGGTCGGAGTCCCGGGAGGAGGAATCAACAAACGAGCCGACTAATGGCTAATACGGTTATACAAGCCAACTTGAATAGGGCCAGGGCAGCGCAAGATTTACTAGCACAATGATCGCACAAGACGCTGGATTGGCCATCATATCCGAGCCTCATGGAGTTCCGGATCACCCATTATGGATTGGCGACAATTTAAGATCAGTCGCCATATGCTGGAGAAGGAGTAGGTACCCTTTACCATTCGTAAAGGTTGCCTCGATGGATGACTTCGTTGCGGTTAAATGGGGAGAGATGCTCATTGTGGGTACTTACATCTCCCCTAACTCAGGACTCGACTACTTCGAGAAAGTTCTTGAAAATATTGCTCTATTCATCCAGTCGCGCACGGAGGTACATATTATGGTAGCGGGGGATTTCAACGCGAAATCCTCCGTATGGGGTGACCGTAGAACTGATAAAAGAGGCAAGGCCCTGGAAAGCTGGGCTTTATCTTTAGACCTAAGATGTTCTAATACGGGCACCGAATACACTTGCGTGAGAAGCACGGGAGGTTCTGTTGTCGACGTTACTTGGACCTCCTCGATGATTGCAAATAGGATCTCGGGATTGGCGTGTCCTGAAAGAAGAGACTCTCTCGGATCATTTGTATATTCGAATACAGCTTGGATTGAATCGCTCGCAAGAAATTAAAAGCGTGATTAAAGAGAAAAGATGGGTCAGGAAGCTGGATTCGGATATCTTTGAGGCTGCTATGACTACGAGTATGTGGATCCTAAACATGAAACTAGGAGACCTAACGCTGGAAGAAAAATCGAGGAAGCTTCAAAAAGTAACATCTATCGCTTGTGATACCTCCATGCCTAGATCCAAACATCAATTGAAGAGGATGACACATTGGTGGAGCGACTCGATTGCTGACCTCCGTAATCAGACAAAAGCGGCACGAAGGGCCACTAAAAAAGCAAGTGGAAGAAGGGCTCCTGATCCGGATGAAATTGAGTTCAAAGTACAATCTTACAGGACTCTCAGAAAGGAGCTTAGAACATCCATACATAAGGCCAAGGAGGCCTCTTGGAGGGAGTTGCTCTTGTCTCTCAACGAGGATCCGTGGGGGACGGCATATCGTATGGTCCTGGACAAGTTGCGACACTGGACGGTCCCGCTAACGGAGACACTGGATCCTTCCTTCCTTGATAGGAAATATCCTATTGAAGGTCCTCTTCCCTGAGCCGGAAGGGAGTGAACAAAATTGGACTGAAGCCGAGGCACTTCCGCTCACTGGTAAAGGAGCATGGGAGCCTGGGTTTGAAGTTCAGGTGGAGGAAATAAAGACTGCGGAACGAAGAATGCGCGAACGTAATGCATCCCCGGGTGCTTCCGGTATTCCTACGTAAGTAAGTAAGGCCTGGTCTTTGGCACTGAAGCATCATCTGCACCCCCAATACTGCGGGATTTTTACAAAGTGTCTAAAACTGGGATATTTCCCAGAAGTGTGGAAACAGGCCAAGCTGGTCCTTTTAAGAAAGGAAAACAAACCTGCAGATAGTCCCAGTGGATATAAACTAATCTGTCTCTTGGATGAGGAGGCCAAGGTCTTTGAGCGAATTATAGCGGCCAGGATTAACGCTTCGCTCGAGCTTCCATTCTTGGGATCGAAACTAAATGCATCTCAGTACGGGTTCCGAAAAGGAAAGAGCACATCGGATGCGATTCTTCACGTTCGTAGGTTCGTCGAGGAGTTCATCGATTCCACGGGAGGGGTTGTTCTGGGAGTGTCGATTGATATCTCAAACGCATTCAACTCCCTCCCGTGGGACACCATCGGACAGGCACTGAGGGACTTGAAAATCCCTCTCTACTTAAGGCGCATTTTGCGATCGTATCTCTCGGATAGATATATCACGTTCATGGATAAAGATGGTGAAAAGTGTTCCAGGAAAATTGAAAGAGGTGTTCCTCAGGGCTCCATATTGGGCCCCTTATTATGAACCATCGCTTATAATCAGGTCCTAAGGAAGACGAGTAGTTCTCGTGAACACGATCTACCTGAGGACAGCATAATCGTTTCCTACACGGATGATATTTTCATCTTGGCGGGTGAAGAAGATTGGAACGCGGCTCTCTTAAAAGCCAATGCAGCGGTAGCCACTGTGGTCTCGCGTATCGAGGAACTCGGCTTGGCGATATCGGCGCCTAAGTCGGAGGCGATACTTTAGGAGTAGTAGAAAGGGGAAACCCCCCGTTGACATGTTCATTACAATAGGAGAGACTGAGATTCCCATTAAGGACCATCTTAAGTATTTGGGAGTAATAGTTGACAGCAGGTGGAACTTCCTGCAACATTTTAGGACACTTGGAGAGAGACTCGTCAGAACAGCGGGCAAGCTCTGTCGCATCCTCCCTAACTTAGGAGGCCCAACATAATGTGTTCACATCATTATCGTTATGTAGCTTTTGAAAATGCGGTGGATCCTTATTATATTCTAATCTAATCTTATTATTCATTATTTATAAGTAATACTTTCGTACTTCAAGTGCCAAAAAAATTACTCCGTACAAGCTTCGACATTGCTTCTAAGTGAACAACGAGAAACTCATCAGTCTTTTGAGAGCAGGTTCTTTTTCTGAGTCATTAACAGATTGGTACTCTGGAATTACAAGCAATTATTTTTCATTGCACGGGCTAGTATAAATTAAATAATTTTCAAATCAAATCTCAATAACGGACTTTTATAATTTGTGCACTAAGAATAACATATTGCAGAAATTTTTTAGAAATATGCAAATTGTAATCTGTTTTACTTATGTGTATGTATGTTCATTTTGAATTTGCACCTTGAATGATCTATTAATTACTTTTCGTGGTACATATTCAACAAAGAAAATATATTTTATGTATGTTCATTGCAGTTATTTTCTAGAAAACTGTAATATGCAGATTGTAATCTGTTTTACTTATATGTAGGTATGTTCATTTTAAACTTGTACCTTGACTAATCTGTCATTTACTTTTCGTGGTACATATTCAACATAGAAAGTAACATAACGTATGTTTACTTTAAACTGGCACATTTAGTAATATATCAGTTACTTTTCGTGGTCATATATTATATTAGATAATATCATTTAAAGTATTAAAGGTTTAAATTATTATGTTACATTATTAAATAATCATTTTAATTTAGAAATGTTCAAATTTTTGGGGTTAATTTTCAAAGGTTGAAATTTATTGGGTTTTCTA